GCACTTCATTACGCGTTTGTAGAGTGAAGCAGCTGGCGTTTATAAAGTAGGTTTAGAATGCCAACAATACCATGAACCGGGCTGGGTGGTCGGTGGCTGTAAACTCAATAATTTAATTTCACTGGAATTTCATTACTTTGTGACGGTAAAATGGTGCTGTGAAGTGTTATTGTATGGTTCGGATAGGATGCGTAGATTGTTAACACTTGTACCAGTATCTGTCACCAGAGTGTGCCTCGTGGCTATCAACAGCAGCAGCTGGTGCTAAAACAAGAACCACTACAGGTGAAATAATATTTAACTGCCGTTCTACGTTGTGTTTACGTGAAACGGCCTGTAGAACATCGAAGATATGATTCTGTCATGTTTATTAATTTCACTGCAAACCTTCACAACGCGTATGTAATGCACAATACCAATGTATGTTCTAATTATAACAGTGAGTATCCTTGTTTACAACACTAGAGTTAATTTAATACCTTGAATCCGACACTCGTGTAAATAATTGAGTCCGTACCGCAAAGAAAACACCGCACTTCAACATTACAAAGATCAAATGGTTGATACTATTTAAGAAAGTAATCGCTCTTTACAGTGAGAATCATGTTATATTTCTGAGTATTTTAGTGTGACCATCTATAGCCTATAGAATGATTAATATATGAACACAAAGATCAGTGAACTGTCTAAAATATCAAATATAATAACTAGAATATACTTGTACTGCAGTGAAGTAAGAGCATTACTCCAATAAAACCCGAAAAATGTTGTATAACAAGTAAGCGGAATTGTTATGAATCACGAATGATGTGATTGTTTGTATGGAGTGCTTTATCTCCGGCCTTCCAATATTATGGAATCTAATGTTACGGATAGTGAAAGCAGTTAATGTCCTTTAGTAGCCACAAAATGTCTTTCCACTGGAGTCATGCAACAACCATGTAATTATGACGATGCACGGCTCACAGAGTTTGCGTCCACTGTTTCATACGTGCGCCTTGCTTGTAGGCTGCACACAACAATAAATGATTCAGTCGCATGCATTCATGCAACACTAATAAAGTTTCCTGTGTACCAATTTCGTATCACGTGTAATATGTTGAATTATAGCTTGCATAATATGGGCCTGTTTTCAGCTGCAAAAATGCTTTTACAGGATCCGTTTATAAAGTCCGTTCTGTTTGTTTCGAATAAGGCACACATGACAAATACACCGAAAGATTAAGGATTCATTCAATAAAATTGAATTTAACCTTTTAACTCGTTTTGTGATTGCGATACTCAAATACTGCGACCAACATGTAGTTCTCTTTTATTGCTAAAGTATTAAAGTACAATAGTTAATTCTAGGAATTAATCATTGAAGAACGCGATCATAGTAATCTGTCCGGCGTCGGGCAAACACTCGATATTACAGCACTAATTGGCTTGTTCAACATTTTAAATATTAACGCATGGCATCGTGCTATTAATACAGTTAGTCGTTAACGTGTTACACAGCAGGGGAATTACGTGGGCGTGTTTTATCCTACGTCAGTAGCCTCTGTTCAGGGCCTGAAAGGATTTTCATTCAAAGGTCTCTGCAGCTACATTAAAGTTCAACACTTTGTAAAAGAAATGAAGTCGTTCTGACCCTCCAGTATTAACGTAGGTCTCTGTGTATCATTCTAGTGGTGATATACTGAAGAGATCTTTGTCAGAATTTCAATTCCTGCTATGAGAAAGAGATTTCTGTGTGGCAGTGGTAGTGTTCTTTATTTATGTACCTGTCGAAAACGTTGGCCCACTATGGCGTGTTCCCGGACTGCATGACATATTCGCTGCTTATGTTTCAACTCGTGGTAGAAAATTGCATAGGTTTTCAGACTAACCCCAGCTAGAAAATATATTTTTCAACCGTGAGTCGGCGAACCCGCACAGTCTGTGGACCCTGTAAGATTTACTTTCGGCACGTCATAGTACGTCATGTCTGTCTGTCCGTCCATATTCTTTGTCCCAGAAATTACTAAATGGGTTTCACTGCAACTTGATTTTGGAAGTCTGAACTAAAAGTAGATGGACATACATTTAATTTAGCCTCTGTATGTCCGGTACGTGTGTGTCTGGAAAAACCAACATCATCTACTGGGTCTAGGAATCAATTTATGAACCTTATCCCGTTTAGATTGTATAAGAGTACTTTGACATTTTTTTCAGAAATGTTTTCTCTCTCTCTTGAAGCGTGTCTCTGCAAAGCGTTTTAAGACAGTATTTTCCTGTCAAACTCTCCAGTTAATGAAGCAGAAGTTTTACATTTCAGTGCACAATTAGACATTTTACAGAAACTCATTATTTTAAGCAATCGCGTAGTTTTAATCCGGGTCTTACCTATCGGATGTCGAGTTCTGTGAACGCTGATGCATTACCACGAGTACACGCCTGCACGGAGACAGCGTGGGTGTATGGACAGGATGCTATTTTATCCGCGCTGAAGTATTTCGTGTTCCCAACTTCTATTTCCCGTCCAACAAAGAAAACTAGAGAGAGACGGAATGTTAGTGTTCGTATACAGTTGGTAGGACTGTTAAGGCCTCGTATCCAATTTACGAGCTCTCGAGAGACGAACAAATCACGCCAGAAAGAATCTTTCTTTTTTGCATATCTGTAGAGACAGTCAATGCCTAGATAACGTGACATTTTCAGAAGGAGCAAAAGTACAGAAGTACAGGGTGATTCATGACAGTAGGGACATTCTATTTTTAAATTCCTCCTAGGAATTTCGAGTTAATGTTAATATTTTCAAAGTCAGAGAGTCAGAAAATTAATAAGTGATGGAGATGAACCATTCATCTGCTCCTTTTGATATTTTAGTTTAACAGTCTTCAAAAATTCGCTGTATAAATCTGTTAAATCAATGTACTCTAAATTTCGCGTATATAAAGAACGTTCTTAAACTAGAGTAGACGAAACACTGACGTTAAAAAGACACTGTTTCCTGCATTATTTTACCTACTCTTTTGATGTTTTGTATAAGCATATTCAGATATATACGATACCCTTCTTTCAACATACAACACATCGGAGTAACATTCAGTTTCTGTCCACGTATTATCCAATATGACGGTGTCGTATTGTTGATGGCTTGTATTTTTCGAGAGCGTGCGGTGATGATTCCTGAACGGGTGACCTGTTCCTACAAGCACATCTTTTATGTTTCACTTGGGACATACATGAACTTCCAACGTGAAGGCACAACCTACAAGAAACCTCACAGTATTTTATTTTTATGTAGCTACTTTTGAGTGTATTAATGTGACTTGGAATCGACAAACTTAAACTTTTATTGGCCTTACGTCCTTCGTTATCACAGACGAATGTAGAACTGTGTGAAATTCTTTTACCCAGTTATTATTCAGCTAGTGCAAAATTCAAACAGTAAATTTATTTTTCGATTGTTAACTGAATTACTGACACTGCAATATCAACTTTATCTTAGAATGAGAGAGCTATTATAAAGTATAAATAATGAGTAAATACACGATACTTATTGCTAAATATTTTACAAATACCTGCAAAGGATGCGAATTATATTCGGTAACGAGCACGTTTCATCGTGAATGCACCATGTTCGCACGTGTAGAGATTTTGCGCAAGTGGTGTGCGCAGCGGCCTAGGAACTAAGCCGACCTTGACTCGCATGTGATTGAGGGTAAAATGTGATTGTACTTGGGCGACTTTTTAAATGGGAAATTCTGTTGTTCTTTAGCAAATTAGCTACCTCCTCCTTTCGCTGTAGAGATAAGAGAAACATGAACTAATAATTTTAGGACACAGATAAATACTTGGAAAGACAATTACCTGGTTTATTTATGGCAACGCGTGTGTACCACACTTAAAAATTAGTTTAGTTTTAAGATGTTTCCGACGAGAGAATTATTAACAAAGTAAGTTTGATTTTTCTACTGGGTTATGAATACTGAATTGTTATAAAAATCTAGTTTCTTTCTAATTATGACGTAACAAACTACGCACTTTTATAAATGCTTGATACAATAGTAGGTGTAATGTAGCGCTACTGGTAAAATGTTAAATATTAGGAC